TTTTTTTAAATCTCAGCTATCCTAGTGGAGCCCTGGTGGCATAGTGGTTAAGTGTTTGGCTGCTAACCAAAAGGTCGGCAGTTAGAATCCACAAACCGCTCCTTGGAAACCCTGTGGGGCAGTTCTGCTCTGTCCTATAGGGTCGCTATGAGTTGGAATCTTGTTGGAATCTCTTAAGCTATCCTATTGGGAGTGAAAAACTATCTCACTGTGGTTTTGATTTGCATCTCCCTGATAGTTAATGACACTGAGCATCTTTTCATGTGACTGGCAGCCTTGTGAATGTCCTCTTTGGTGAAATGTCTATTCAAGTACTTTGTCTATTTTATGATTGGGTTATTTACCTTTTTGTTGTTAAGTTTTTGTAGTTTAGATATATTTTGGTTATTAGATTTTTATTTGCTCTATAGCTTCCAAAGATATCCTCCCAGTTGGTAGCTTGTCTTTTCACTGTTTTGGTAAAGTCTTTTGATGAACAGAAGTTTTTAATTTTTATGAGATTCCTATTAATTTATGTTGTTATTATCTGTTTGTGGTTTTGTTATTATATTAGATAATCCATTGTTAAGAGAGAGGCCTGGTACCATTGCCAACTGCATTTTCTTCTAAGAATTATATGATGATCGATTGCACATTTAGGTCCTTAATCCATTTTGAATTGGTTTTTGTGTATGGTGTGAGGTATGGATCCCGTTTCATTTTTCTGTGTGTGGAAATCCAATTTTCCCAACATAATTTATGGAAGAGACTCCTGTTTCCCTATTGAATGGACTTAGCACCCTTGTCAAAAATCAGTTGACCAAAGATTGTGGGTTTACTATTGGAATCTCAATTCTATTCATTGGCCTATGAAACTATTGTTTTACTAGTACCAGGCTGTTTTGATTACCGTAGCTATAATAGGTTTTAAAATCAGGAAGTGTTCTTCTCTTTCAACATTACTTTAGCTATTCAGGGCCTCTGGACAGGCCATATAAAGTTGAGGACTGGTTTTTCCATTTCTGTGAAGGTAACTGTTGGAATTTTGATCAGCATTGTGTTCAATCTATAGATCATTTTGGGTAACACTGACATCTTAGCAATATTAAGTCTTCCAATCCATGAACATGGAACAGCTTTCCATTTATTCAAGTCTTCTTTAATCTCTTTCATCAGTGTTTTATAATTTTCATTGTATAAGTCTTTCACATCCCTGGTTAGATTTATTCCTAGGTATTTTATCCTCCTAGATGCTATTGTAAATGGAATTGTTTCCCTAATTTCCCTTTCAGATTTCTCATTGCTGGTGTATAGAAATCTAACTGACTCTTGTTGGTAACCTTGTAACCTTCAACTTTGCTGAAGTTCTGTTTTAGCTCTAGGAGTTTTCTTGTGGACTCTTTGGGATTTTCTATATATATATATACACACACACACAGATTTATCTCAAGGAAATGGCTCATGTAGTTATAGAGGCTGGCAAGTCCTAAGTCTGTGGGTCAGGCGTCAGGCTGGAGGCCTCTCCTGACTCACATAGCTGTAGGGACTGATGAACCCAAGATCTACAGGTCAGATGGCATGTTGCTGTTCACAGGCTACAAAGGCTGACAAATCTAAGATTGGCAGGTAAGACAGCAGGCTGCTGGCTCGTCTCAAGAATACGCTTCATTGGTTTTGCTTCTCTAGAGAACCCAGCCTAAGATAGGTATCTTTAATTTTTTTCTTGTCTTATTGCTCTTGCAAGGACTTCTAACACAATATTGAATAAATGGTGAGACCAGGTTCAAAACCAAAACCTACTGCCATTGAGTCGATTCTGACTCATAGCAACCCCCTAAGACAGAGTAGAACTGCCCCGTAGGGTTTCCAAGGAGCAGCTGGTGGATTCGAACTGCTGACCTCTTGGTTGGCAGCCAAACTCTTAACCACCCTACTACCAGGGCATGAGAGCAGGTAACATTGTCTTATTTCCAATTTCAAGGGGAAAGCTCTCAATCTTTCTCCATTAAGTATAATGTTGGCTGTTGGCTTTTCAAACATGCCCTGAATCATACTGATAAACTTCCTGTCTATTCCAAACTTCCTGAGTGTTTTCATCAACAAAGGGTGTTGGATTTTATCCAACGCTTTTTCTGTATCCATAGAGATGATCATGTGGTTCTTCTCCTTTGTTCTACTGATGCGGTATATTACTTTGATTGGTTTTCTGATGTTGTATCATTCCTGCTTTCCTGGAATAAATCCACTTGGTCATGGCGTATGACTCTTTTAAAATGCTTTTGGATTCTGTTTTCTAGGTTTTTGTTGAGGATTTTTGCATCTATTTTCATAAGGGATTAGCTTGTAGTTTCTTTTTCTTGCGTCTTCGTCTGGTTTTGGTATCAGGGTTATGTTTGCTTCAAAGAATGAATTAGGGAATATTCCTTCCTTCTCTATCTTTAAAGAGGATTGGCGTCAATTTTTCTTTCAATGTCTGGTAGAATTCCCCAGTGAAGTCATCTGGTCCAGGACTTTTGTTGTTGGAAGGTTTCTGATCACTCAGTCTCTTCACTTGTTATGGGTCTGTGGAGACTTTCTATTTTCTCTTTAGTTCAGTTTGGGTAGGTTGTGTGCTTCTAAGAATTTGTACATTTCATTTAGCTTATCCAGTTTGTTGCCATACAGTTGTCTGTAATACTGTCATAATTCTCCTTATTTCCATCAGGTCAGTTGTAATATCTCCTCTTTCATTTCTTATTTTGGTTATTTGCATCAGAATTTCTCTTTTTTCAGTCAGTCTAGCTAAAGGTTTGTCAATGTTGTTGATCTTTTCAAAGAACCAACTTCTTGATTTGTTGATTCGACTGTTTTTCTGTTTTTGATTTTATTTATTTCTGCTCTGATCTTTGTTATTTCCTTTTTTCTGGTAGGTTTAGGCTTAGTTTGCTCTTTTCTTTCAAGTTCCTGGAGTTCTCAACTTATACTGTTGATTTGAGATATTTCTTCTTTTTTCCTGCAGGCATTTATTGCTATCAGCTTCTCTCTGAGTACTGCCTTTGCTGCATTCCATAAGTTTTGGTATGCTGTGCTTTCATTTTCATTTGACTCTAAGACATCTGTGATTTCTCTTTAGTTATCTTCCTTGACACACTGGTGGTTTGATAATGTGTTGTTTAATTTCTATATGTTTGTGTATTTTCCAGGTTTTTTACTTTTATTGATTTCTAACTTCACTCAGTTGTGGTCAGAGAAAATACTTTGTATGTTTTGTTAAAGTCCTAAATTTTGGGGTGCTTGATGGTGAGGACTGCTAGCCCAGACTTAGGATCAATAACTTACTGTTTCTCTTAACTTGTATGCTTTATATAGACTTAATCTTGTAATTAAAGCAATGTTTTCTTTGTAACCGAGCTAAGAAAGAATGTTGTCAGCTTCTTCCCAAGGAACCTTGATACAAGCAGTGTATCTCACCTCTATGTTCCCAGAAAGGAATGTTTTCCAATTATTTTGTAACTCCTCTCGCCACATAAAACCCCTATAGTTACCAGGTAGTAACTAATCAACAAAGCACACATATCACCAAGCAGTAAACAAAGACTCTTTAAATCAATCACGTTAAGATCGCCACTTCAGATATCTCGCCTCTCACTTCCTTGAATCACCAAGCACCTATCAGAAATTCTGTATTGTCAGTTCTTGATTTTACCATATAAATATGCTTTTGTAACTGCACCATCTCAGACGGCTGTGGTTTCACTCTGTGGACTATGCATTTCCCCGGTTTAAACTGTATCTTGCCTTCAATAAAACTCTTTGCTTTTGCTTAAACCAAGTATGCAGTATTACTCTTTGATAATTTAATCTTTTTAAATGTATCGAGACTTGCTTTGTGACCTAACATGTGGTCTATCCTGGAGAATGATCCATATGCACTGCAGTAGAATGTAAGCTGTGCCATTGCTGGGTGGAGTGTTTATATATATGTCTGTTAAGTCTAGTTGGTTTACAGTGTCATTTTTTTCTCAGCCTTTCACTTTCAACCTATTTGTGTCCTTTGTTCTAAGGTGTGTCTCTTGTAAACAGGATACAGTTAGATCATGTTTTGTTTTATTTTTGAAATCTATTCTGCCACTCTCTCCCTTTTGATTGGAGGATTTAGTCCATTTACGTTCACTGTAATTATTGATAAGAAGTGACTCACTTCTGCTATTTTGTTGTTTTTTGTGTTTTAAGCCTTCTTTGTCTTTTTCCTTTACTACTGCTTGCTTTGTTTTGTTGATCTATTGTAGTGAGCCATTTTGGTTCCCTTCTCCTCTCCCTCTGTGCATGTTTTTTAGACATTTTCTTAATGGTTACCAAAAATATTACGCTTAACAGTTTGTATTTATAATCCATAAGGTTTTTCAATGGCTCATGATTTGGAAGTAGATTGCCAGGCCTTTTTTTGAGGCACATCTGGGTGGATTTAAACTGTCAACTTTTCAGTTAGCAGCTGAGTACTTAACTATTTGTGCCATCCAGAGACGTACTTACGTACATATTGCTGCTGTCAGTTGCTGTCAAGTTGACTTTGACTCATGGTGACCCCTGTATGCAGAGTAGAACTGCTCCATAGGATTTTCAAGGCTGTGATCTTTCAGAAGCAGATGGCCAGGTCTGTCTTCTGAGGAGCCTCTAGTGGGTTTGAACCACCAACTTTTTGGCTAGCGTTCGAGTGCTTAACCACTGGTGCCACCCAGGGACTCCTACATGCATATATACACCAAACCCGTTGCCACTGAGTTGATTCTGACTCATAGCGACCCTATAAGACAGAGTAGAACAGCCCCATACGGTCTCCGAGGAGCAGCTGGTGGATTCAAACTGCCAACCTTTTGGTTAGCAGCCCTAGCTCTTAACCACTGCACCACCAGGGCTCCATATACGTATATATGAAACTATATACATATAGACATATATATACATATACACACACATACATATATATGTATATGAAAATATGTAAAACCACATTTACAAAACTTTTTCTAGTAATAACATACCCTGATTGTGTACTGGCAACAGGTGGGATGGGGGTGGGGGCTGTGGTAATGGAATTGGCTGAGTGGTCGCAGGACTAAGCACAGCAGTAAACAAGTCCTCAACATCCTTTCCTCCAAGCTCTGTGAGACAAAATAATAGTAGTAATAAGATTAAAAGACTACTGAGGCCACAGTATAGGGAATACCATTTTCATTAGCTAAAAATTCAGAATAAGCATACCTGGAATTTTATATAACTTCCCAAGAATTGCTCCTAGGATTAAAATAAAGAAATAGAAGTATTAACAACTACCATTTAAATATAACATATAAAATAGCATTTAACTGATACAGAAATTATTAGAAGATAAATTATAAATAAGCATGCAGAAATCTCTGAAAATCATATTTACTCATGTGTTTTAGAAAGCCTAGATGTAGGGCAAATATTTTACCATCTGTGACCATTTTGTCTAGTTCAGGACTGAGGATTCCATCTAGTTGCTCTTCACTTAATGTTCGTGAACTCTGATTGACACTTGGCTGAGGCAGAGAGGAAGGATCATCAGCGACGTGACCAATATCTATTCCAGCTAAAGGAGTGAGGTAAATAGATTAAAAGTGAACTCAGAACAGTTAAGCAAAAACCATAAAACTGTTTACCAGCATTAATTAATATACAACAATATGGTTAAAAAGAGTAACAGAAAGTCTGTACTTCTGAATTAATCGGGATTACATCAGACTGTATAGCCAATCAATAAAAACTTGGTACAATGTAGCTGTAAACATAGGTGCTACTTAAAAGATGTATTTTAATCAAAGTAAATATATTTCCTGAGTAACACAAGAACACATCTGATTTTAAATTACTGCTAATTTCCACACAAAAAAAGCACTATATTATTTAGATTCCTAAGAAGCCAACATAGAAATATTTGCTTCAACTTGGAAAATAGTGATATAAAATGTACAGTTCAACTATCATACACAATATGTGAAACAGGTGGGATGTTTCACATAAATTAATGAAAAGCTCTAAAACTCCTTATTATAATAACATTAGCCTTTATGAACAATTTCAATTACAGACTGTATTTTTAAATATGCTGTAGGCACAAAACAAGGTTATGTATATAACATTATAATATGCTTTATCTCATATAAATTGGTATTTTAGGCAAGAGTCATGTTTAGTAAAAGTGGCTTAATGCTCACTTTTTTCATGCTTTCTAAATATTATTACTATTAAAAAAGTAAAAATTCAGCCCGCTCTTATTTGATCTCGCATTAGGAACAAACGCTATGTATAACACTTGGGTAGTATTATAAATCACACATTAGCAAGAATAGAACTATTCATTAAAAATAAACACTGAAATAAATAAAACTATGGAGAAAGTGATCCAAAGCACAGTAGAGCTGTACTATGCTTTAGCCACACACAACATGGGAAAAACAAAGTATGGATTAGTGACAAAGTAGCGCTACTAACATATATGCATGCACCTATAGGCTGTTTCAGCTGAACCACTACAGAAAAGAAGACTACTCCTAGTCAGTGGCCATCCATTGCTCAGTTTCTTACCAAATGGAAAAGGTGAGCTCTCAACCTGGAAAGTGCATAAATCAAGACCTACAAGACCCAAACCAAATAAAATGGATGATTACCACAGGGGCGGGAAGTGAGGGGAAATGCAAACAAAAGAAGAATCAAGATACAGCAAGAATATAAGGCTATATGCCTTAAATATGACGCAATCAGAAAGACAACAGAAATTAACTGACTTGCTATTTCCCCCTTCTAAAGCAGGAAAATCAAGTAGTATCAAATAAAATGTTGAGGAGTTTTCTGAGAAAGCCAAAAAATGCTTCAGTAATTGGGAAAGAGGCAAAAAACTAAATTTGTTCCATACATCTCTCACTCACATCATAAAACAGAAATCAGGCAAATAGCACTCATACATACCTGAATGATCAACTGATTTTGCTAAGTCATCTGAAATTATTCCAAGGATGTCATCGTCTGTGTTTAATACTTCTGAAAGATCAGCTAATGGGTCATCAGCAGTACCTATATACAGTAAGTATATTTTTTAAATTATAATATTTTCTTAGACGTTAAGTTCCAAAAGATCCTCACTCATTCAACCATTTACTAAATACCTATAGCATAAAAGACACTGCGGTAAGTGCTAGAGTCATAAAAACTCAGATTATTAATTCTAAAACCAGGAATTTTCCGTAGCAAAGGCACTCCCATGTTTTGAATACAAAAGCTTATTAACAATTAAGATAATTTCTGTTTTGTGGCTAATGTATGTTGACAATAAAATTTAAAATAAAGACTTGTAAACAATACAAGTAAGACAGAATACTGTAAGAAACAAAACAAAAACATTAAGAAAGTAGCATCTCTACAAACGACAACTAGGGGAACAAAAAACCATGCACACACACAGTAGGAGAAGGTAAATAAAATACGAATGACAGCCCTGTTATTTAGAAATTCATTATGAAGTATAAGCCAGGTATCATTCCAGTGTTGCTCTTCATACTAATTACTCATTCACTTATTTATTTAAAAAATTTGAGCACCCACAGAGCTATGTCCAAGGTTTATGTATCAGGCACTGTTCCAGCCACTGGGAATACAGAAATGAATAAAATCAAGTGTTTGCCCTCACAAAGGTTACTCTCTCAGAGAAGTTAGACAGCATGAAAATTACATCAGTATAAGTATTATAAAAAATATAAGAAAAAAGGATTAAGAATAAGTTATATGGATGCTATATTATAGATAAGATCATCAGGGAAGGCCTTTTTAAGAATACGACAAAGCATAACTCTGAATGAAATGAGGGAGTAAGATGTGTAGAGATGGAGAGAACATTCCATCCCAGGCAAAGGGAACAGTGGGTGTAAAGTCCCTAGGGCAGGAAAGCTTTTGCCAACACAGGAGGCCAGTGTAGTTACAGTAACAAAGGAGGAGAGTGGCGGGAAATAAAACAGGCAGCGAGAGCAAGGTTATGCATGTTTTTACAAGGTCATGGTAAAGCCATGGGGGCTTTACTCTAAGTGTAATGGGAAGCCACTGAGGGGTTGAGCACTAGGGGATGGTATGACTGACATTTTAGAGGAAACAGACCTGACAGCAGGGGTGGGGAGAGTGGGCATGACTGCAGTCCTGGAGACCACTTAAAAGGCTGCTGCTGCGGTCTAAGGGAGTGGGGATGACCGCCTGTACACAGTGGTAGGGAAAGGGGAGGTAAGAAGTGGCTGGCTTCGGGATATATTTTGAAGGTAGAAACAAATTTGTGGACGGATTATATTTGGAATATAAGAGAATGAAAACTCATGGAGGACTCCAAGGTTTCCTGGCCTAATCAAGTAGGAAGAGATGGGAACTCTTACTCAGGCTGGCTTCAGTAAATATAGTAGTCATTCAGTTGAGAAACGTCTGAAATTTTTAATCCATCTCAAGTATATTTTTATTTAAAAAAAAAAAAAGGACATAAGCTTAATACTAGATTAAATATCTCTGTGAAACACAGTCTTGTTCTATGAAAAGTTTATTGCTCAAATAGAATTCATACATAAGAACATTATGGTTTTTCAAATTGAAACCTAATGTAAGCTTACGTGCCCAAATAGAAATTTTTTAGAGAAATAAAATTATTTCAATAATGTATTCTCTAATGTAGTCCATTTGAAAGGAAAAAATCTAGATATTTCTTTCAGGGGTCATCATGTGCATATTTTGAAACCAAGGGAATTCTACTGCACAAATTATAAAATTAAAAAAAAAAGACTATGTCTAAAACGTTTGACCTACCTGAAGAAAGGCATTTTATAGCTTATCAACAAATCATTAAAACTGATGTTAATGACAATATCCAATGAAATGGTTATTAAAAAAAAAAAAATCTTTACTTGTTTATTTCCCTTTATAAAGGCAAATGAGTAGTCCAACTGCAAAGAGCATTACATTTAATTCGGGTTTTGAAATGGGTATTATTCTAGTCCTCAAATTTTGGCTTTATAGATAAACCATTCTCTTCAGCAGTTCTGTGGAAAAAATGACTTCAAACAAAGGAAAAGCGATAAAAAATAACTTATATCAATGCCTTCGAAAAAAAAAAAATCACAGTATGTTTCTGTCCAGTTTCAGCTCTCTTCCTTAGAAAAACTCAAGTGCAAATAGCTTTTATAAATGATGAGTCATGATTTTTATAAGATCTCTCAAAGGGACCAGAAATCTTTCATTGTATATTATTTTAACAACACACTGACATGGAAAAGAGCAGGTAAGTGCCTAAAACAACAGAATTAAAGTAAAATGATTTGCTAAAGATTGAATAAACAACACGAGGCTGTTAGTCGAGTGTTTTAATTTCTTTTCAACCAACAGTGAGGGAGACTGGATGTGCGTGTGCGTGTGAGGGGATAAGATGACTTCTAAGCACTTCGAGTGATCAAAATCTAAAAGAAAAGTCTCCCTTTCAACTCCAGATAATGCCAAGTTAATGAAGCTGTAACTACTTAATATATTAAAAGTAAAATTTTCCATGGAAGGTTGCCTTAAAATTGTGTCTTCTAAAATAGGTTTTAAAACTAACTTTTAAGTAATAAATAGAATCAGTGGTAAAAGGGGAGACTGTCAAAAGAACATTAATAACGCATAAAACCTAGAAGTGGGGGAAAAAACACTGTGATCACAATTCTTCCATCTCCATCTAGTTAAACTCCTAGAGTCCTGTTTGCATTACTATTATTTTATAAACATACCTAAAGCTTTCACATCCCTAATTCTAAATAGCACCCATATTCACTGTGTCTCGGGCAGTGGTTCTCAACACGGGGGGGATTTTATCCAAGGAACATTTGGCAATGTCTAGAGACATTTTTGATCATCATGATGTCATAAGGTCAGAGATGCACAGGACAGACTTCCTCCTACAACAAAGAATTATCCAGCCCAAACATCAAGAGTGTCAAGGCTAAGAAAACATGATCTAATACAATGTATCAATAGTCTGTTAGCTGGTTTCCAATCAGAGTATTCTCTTTTCCTCTATCCTGAATTTCTTTGGGCTATGTAATAAATAAAAATCTGTATTACTTCAGTCACAGATTATTGACGACTCACCAACTATGGCTAAATTATACCCCTGTACATTGCCCCGCAAAAAAGGACAACCTGTACATTTTCCTTCACAACTCCTTGTTTCAGTGGTAGTAACCAAGTAAATCAACTTGTCAAACCTTAAAAAACTATCTACTTAAAATTTATACTTCTCTAAAGTTGAACATAAAATAGTAAATGAGGACAAACTAAAGCATTTCAAAAGTTTAGTTTAAAGGAAGATGGACTTCCCCAGATAAACAAAGCATTTGTGAATTATTCCAAATACCGTGAGTTGCAGGTTTTGCTGGAGTTGAGGATGAACTAAGTAGTGGCTCTAATGAAGGATCCAAGAAATTTGTGTTCAAGTTTGTTTTACATGAAAGTTGAGCTGCATCTTCTGACAGATTATCTAAACTCAGCTTGTATTGTCTACTTGTATCTAGAAGATCTTTTCCGAAGAAAGCTTCCTAAACAAAGATAAGCACATATGAAAATTATTAATTACAAAATTCTAAAAAGACAACATTGTTCTGTCATCATTTTTGACAGGGAAGCAGAAATACCAGAAAAGCTTTGTATTTACAATAATGATTACTAATAAATATAGAAAGATCCTGTCAATTCTTTTATATTGATTTGTCTTATTTTAAAAGATTTTTTGTAGCTTTACTAGTGACAAATAAAATTATGCAAATAAAGCCACACAATTATGTCAACTGTGTTTCTAGCAACTGCAATACAATAATTCAAGAACTTCAATAGAATAAGCTACAATTTAAAATTATTAGATTCACAACATTAATTCCTATTATAAGCAAAACTAAAACTTCAAAATTATTATTAGTATTTACAGATTACTTGCAGAGACCACTACAAGGGGTTCATAAATCCACATGTGTAGCCCTAGCTATTCAAAGACTGTACAGATACTTTGAGTGGGCAGATTATACAATTACTTAAAGTTTACCTTGACAATGTTACGATTAACAAAGAAAATTTGGAAAAAGCGTTACCGAATTCCCAGCTGGTTTCTGTCACAACGTATTTCCCCAATCAATGGAAAGAAGTACAGATGCTATCAAGAGATGCCCAAGAATTCATAACATTACAAAGGCTTCCCTTACGTTGGGAAAAAAATAGTTAGACATTACTGCTGTACACCAAGGAAATAATCCAGCTCACAGACTAAGATCATAGCAGTAATCAGGAAATCAGATCCAATACTTTTAAAGGCTCCTTTACCCAAGTATGAAATAGTCAGTTTTTGTACTTTTATACAAACAGCTATAGAAAGCTTCCTAAACATATGGTTACACTTTACAGGTAGATCAATAGAAGTAGCGGCAGGCCATCTGCAATACTCCCTAAAAGGATTATTAGAAAGTGAGGTAAAGGGAATAGGAGATAACAAAAAATAAAGATGCAATTAAAGATAATCCAAACAATAAACAGATCCATTTTTGACATATAAAGTCACTGAAGGGGGAAAAAAAGGTACAAAGCTAGGATGAATAGGTATTTCAAGGGAATGTGGGGAAAATAAAAACATCTATTAAGGAGATGTAATATGGAAGGCACAGAGTTAGGCATACATACATACTGTTGTTAGTTACTGATCATGGTGACTCATATATTTAGAGTAGAACTGTTCCATACAGTTTTCAAGGCGGTGACCTTTCAGAAGCAGATAGCCAGGCTTATCTTCCGGAGTCTCTGGGTGGGTTCCAACTGCCTACCTTTCAGCTGGTAGTTGAGCACTTAACTGTCTGTGCCACCCAGGGACTCCATGGCTAACTGGTAGGAGACTGGTATTCAAATCCATGGCTCTCTGACTTTAAAGTCTTAGGACTCTGTACCGTGGACTCTACCCTTAATGTTAGTAGTCTAATAAAGGAACCCTGGTGGCACAGTGGTTAAGAGCTCGGCTGCTAACCAAGAGGTCAGCAGTTCGAATCCACCAGCTGCTCCCCTGGAAACCCTATGTGGCAGTTCTAATGTTCTACAGGGTCACTATGAGTCGGAATTGACTTGACGGCACAAAACAACAAAAACAAAATAATAAAATTTACATAAATATTACCATATACTTAAGTTACTATGCTTAAAAGTCTCGTTTATTAAATACGGCAGACTTTTTACTCAAATGAGTGCTTGATTTTTATACTCCTAATAACTAAAAACGAGCCCTGGTGGTGCAGTAGTTAAGAGCCTGGCTGCTAACCAAGAGGTCGGCAGTTTGAATCCACCAGCTGTGCCTTGGAAACCGTATGGGGCAGTCGTACTCTGTCCTATACAGTCACTATGAGTCAGAATCAACTTGATGGCAACGGGTTAATTACTAAAAGAAGAAATTGTGGAAGTTGTATGTTAATTGAAAGGAAAATGTATTTTAAAACCAATTAACCTAGTAATAGTTAACTGGAAGGTAAAGGAAAAAAAATACAACTAAAGCAACATACGTAGTTCTATTGAAGGACAGATCAGAGGAACAGCAATAGACACTGAAATTAAGATAGCCACTCAGTGAGATACTCTGCTCCAATTCAACCCCTACCCAAGAATAAACAGAGGCCCAGGAAAGATGGACAACTTGCTTAGGAACCTCAGTTGGCTAGTTGCTGAGCCAGATATTCAATGCCAATCCTATTTCTAATAATAGGTTCTTCCAATATATCACATGACTTTGAACTCTTCTGTGATACAATGTTTACAAGATGAACTAGAAAGAATTCTATTTTCATGTAGCTGACCTCTATCAAACATAACCTCTTTATATTGAGAGAGATTTTTCTAACATAAATTTTGGAAAAAAAATTTGGCTTGAATCTTTGGCTAATTGGGTCTACAAAAGCAGTAAACGTTTATTAAGACTATAACTGTGGCTGCTAAAAAGACATCTTTATTTAATGAACATAACTACTGTAGCTTGTACTGACAAGTGAATTTAAAGAAGACTTGGGTTGGCAAGTACACAGGTGGGACTGGTTTGGAAGAACCGGCTTTCCAACTCCAAAGTATCCTCAAATAAAACTAAAAGACTTCTTCTTATGTTGTATAAATACTTAGAAATGAACAAATGGGATAGAAAGAACTTGCTGAAAAGCATCAAACCACAAAAAAGGTAAATGTTAACTTTTCTGACCTTCTGGAAGGTAAAAATGACATTTTTATGATAACTAAATAAAAACAACAAAAGCAAGGAAAATGTTAAGAAAAACAAATCTATTTTTTCACAACTCAATGTATTACATTTCCTTAACCAACTACAAAATATAATGTAAAGCAAAATATTACTTGTAAATAGGCAGGGAAGGTCTCCTCAAGCTTATTTTTCCTTTTTCGGTATCTCTTCTTTATTTTTTCAGTACTTTCAGTAACAGAAACAGATTCATCAACTACAGTATCTGGTAATTGCTCACTCCAGCCTAAAAGAAAAGTCACATTTATAAAATGTGGCATTTAAAATTTTCAGACGAATTCACTCAAGGTAATTTCATAGTTTAACAACACATACACAACTCCATAAAAACAAGCAAGCTTTTTCAAAAGATTTCAAAGTTTATTAGTAAGTTTTAAAAGTATCATAAAAAATTCATTTCATGTCTATTTAGCATTAGCAGATGTTTCCTACTGTGTTTTCTCTTAATAATCAGTATTTCCTTGCAAAACAGAATTATTTAAACTAAATAATTTGTTAAAGATTATGAAAATAGATAATGCTCATGAGTAGAGAAAATGGCTACTCATATGCTACTAAAGGGAATTTAGTGATTCCAAAATTTTGTAGGGGATATTGTGAATATCTAAGCAAAGTCTTAAACTGTTCCTTCAATTCAGCAATTCCTAGTCCAGGAATTTACTGCAAATGAGGTATTTGTACTATACGTGCATTGTGAAAATAAAGGACTATGAATACGAAAAATGTTTGATCTTAAAATCAATCAGAAATGGAAATAAAACAAAATTTTGGGCTAGGAAATCAGCAAAGAAACAAGTATACTACTTAAAGCAGATACATGAGCAATCAAACTGACACGCTAATATGCTTCTTAATGGTAGGGTAAATGGCACATCCTTTCTGAAAATCAATGGGGGCATTTCGGTTGTCAAACTACACAGGTGGACTCATTCTTCATCTGAAAACAAGTAAAAATACTAGATAAATATTTTTTAAAAATCTCTTTAAATGCATCAGTAATCTAGCCAGAAAGTAAAGAATCCCCAGAGACCAAAACTTAAGGTAAAGCAGCAACCAAAGAAATAAGCAAACAACCAAAGCTCTCTCAAATTTGCTGAAATCTGGTGATCTTGAATACCAGTTTTCAGAGCCTTATGAGATATGGAGATCAAAGGACATAGCTTAAGGCTTTCCCAAGGTGGACAGACTAGCGGGGGGCGGGGGGGGCTTGCATTAACAAGAAATATGCCCCCCCGCCCCATGTCCTCCATCCGTCACATCACCGCCACACCCCCACCCCCATAAACAAAGAAAACTGCTTGTCATGTCATGAATTTGGTGCTGGGTAGAAAGATGAAAATGAAAATCTTGCCCTAGAATTCAAATTCAGCATAACTCTAATGTGGGTGAGAATCCTGAATTCATATAACTTGAGTGGACCAAAAAACTTCAAGATAAGAATTTAGTTTAAAGTAGTCCTGGGCTGGGAGCATAACTCAGCCTCATGGCAGTAACAAATAAAAACCTTCTCTGAAAGAATCTACTTTCAATTTAGTCCCCAAAAAATTCAAACAGTTTTCCAAAGAAAGTGAGCTCATGGTTTAAAAAAAAAAAAAAAAATATATATATATACACCCACACACGTCTATGTATCTCACAATACACACAATGAAATGAGGCACTAGGACAGAGCCAGCAGATACAAAAAGTAGAATCAGACGTGCTGAGGCTTCAGATACTTCATATTCTATCAATTAGACTCATGAAAATAAAAGTAAGGAATATGGTATAAAGAAAGTAAAAAGTGTTAAAAGTATCAAAAAGTCAGCTTAAAAAAAGAAAAAATTGTATATGAAATAAAAAAACTCAATGAATGAGATGAAGGCAAAAATACTAAACTAAAAGATAAATATAAAGAAATTATTTAGCGGACAGAATACAGAGAAAGATGAAAAATAGTTTCACTGAACATATCAGTTTCTTAATTAGGGCTAATTATAACCAAATTGTCATATTAGAAACTTCTTGAAAACCATTATGTTGTTTCCTTTTTAAACTGTCCAACAAATTTCTGATTTTTATGAATTCACCTGAGCTCAAAGCTCCATTCCATAATAAACGAAGAAATTCTGTTCACAGCATATGCTGAGCATACCTCATTTCTCTTCATATACTATATTAAAACATTTCAAAATACATGAACCATACAGATTATGACCAAGAGATTACAAAATCTTTATTAGAACCAATTCTCAAATTGGCTGAAAAGAAAATAGTATATTCTTAATTGATAGAAAGATATGGCTTTGGCATAGATTTAACTTTCTTTTAAGCTTTAAGTGGAGTGACAATATTAATTGAAAGATGCATTTTTAAAGCATTATACAATTTTGTTAAAGATTATTGGAGTAATTTGTCATTCTCAACTATACAATCTAAAAATTTCAAATTTTATGCAAAGTAGCTAAGACAGGGGAAGAAAGGCCTTTAGGGAGATAACCAGAAAGTAGGTCAAGAAGAGGCAATAACGTTGTGATTGCAGCATTATTTAGGACATCTTTTTCCAATTACATATATCATGACAAATCAGTATCATACCATCGTCTCTGCTAGGTAACTGCTCAGAAATAGAGCCTGAGGAGTCTTTTCTGATCATAGATCTTTTGGTTTTTCCTTGTCCTGTTCGACTTCTTTGCCGTACCATAAATCCACCAATACCTATCGAAAAAAGAAATCGGGTAAACTTGTAAATAACTAATATCTCCCTATATCTTCACCATATAATGAGGCATTTTCCAAAATTCAGTCTGGGCTAATTTAAATCAGAAATCTCACATTTTTCTGCAAAATATAAAAGTCTGGCAATAAGCAAATTAAAAAAGTTAAAGCCATTGCTATCACTAACCAAATAGGAATTAAAATTCATTAGCGTACGGAATGACTGACTGCACGTATTTTCTCTTCTAGATAATGTTGGAATAACAACAAACAGTAAATTATGCTTATTTATCTATTCAACAAATATTAGTAACTCATATAACATCATTCACATTATTTGTATACTAACTGAGAAAGAAAAGATAGAAGATAATTACAGGAGGCGGGGCAAAGACGGCAGAGTAGTCAGATGCTTCTGGGTGGACCCTTTACAATAAAGACCCAAAAAAACAAGTGATTCGATTATACGTGGCAATCTGGGAGCCCTGAACGTCAAAGCCAGAGTTGAGGAACCAGACTGAATGGCAGGGGGAGGGAGAGATGGTTCGGAAGCAGCGAGGAGCTGCCAGACCTGACCCAGCAAGAGCCTGAGTCCTTCAGGCCTGATCAGCTCGGAGGCGAGCAGCTAGGCAGGCAAGCAGCAGTGCTCGGGAGGCATCTTTTCCACACCAGGAGAGACCCAGACACTGACAGTATACTCGGCCACGCAGAACTACTGAGAAGCAGCCTTCAACAAAAGGTAAGTACTTGCGTAAAGCTTATAGTGCAGATCAAAAATACCCCACTTAGGGAAAAACCTCTCTCCCATTTACCTCCCCGGCTCCTTGTTCTGCACTGGGTCCCAGACCAGCTTCAGCAATTGCTGAGTCCCCTAGGCCAGAAGTAGGATCCGTCAAATGCCGGGAGCCATCCTCCCTGCCTTGGAGAGTGAACAAATTAACAAACCGGAAAAAAATAAACTGCTGGCTCCCCTAAGCCAGGAACCCAGTGTAGGCACAGCTCCTTTGCCCAGGCATAGGCATAAGGGATCCACAGAATTTCAGTGTCTTTCCCGCTGCACAGACTTGTGTGGGCCCATCTCAACAGCGTAGACCCTCATTACAGCAGTACAACAGGGTATATACCGGAACTCTAACCTCAACTGTTTCAGCTGTGAAGTGGCAGGTTCTTGACATTTGACACTGATCTGCAAATTAAGCAGGGTCTTCACCTACCCACATCAGGGGCCTGAGGACTGGCGGGTCCACCCACACCACCTAGCCACCTGCAACAGAGGACCATGAATAAGAGGTGCCCCCCCAGTCCGTACATCCAACAGCATTAGCTGTTCACAGTCCGGCTGCAAAACCTACCCACTTACGCGCTCTAGGGAACAGGGACATGCCTTCCTCCTGGATGATCGGGGGCGGCCATCAGCCCCCTGCCTTGCTCAGAGTGTGCCCCCCCTGCTACAGCCAGATGACTGTGCCTACACCAATCACCCATGCCTGTCTAGGACTGTGAGAGCCTGCACCACAAATTTGGTGGCTATCTATCTGAGCACCTTAGCTGATTCCATACAGGAAGTGGGTGGACTCCTGAGCTCAAATACCTAGTAACAGATCTAATCACCTCGAGACAGGACATTAGAGTTTCAAAGGTGCCAATAATCCAACTAGCTCATATGAGCAGCCTATTTTGGCATATCAAAACAAAACAAGAACCTAGGAAACAGTAAGCAAACATAAAATAAATAAATATAATAACTTATTGATGACTTGGAGACAACAGTCAGTATCAAATCACATAAAGAGGCAATCCATGATGGTTTCAGCAAGCTCCCAAAATAAAGAATCTAGAAATTTTCCAGAGGAGGAAAATTTCTTGGAATTACTGGAGGCAGAATACAAAAGATTAATCTACAGAACTCTTCAAGAAATTAGGAAGGAAATTAAGCAAAATGCAGAACACACAATAGAGTAAATTAAAAAGATTACAGAAGAGCATAATGACAAATTTAACAGGCTGCAAGAATCCATAGAGAGACAGCAATCAGAAATCCAGAAGATTAACAATAAAATTTCAGAATTAGACAAC